CGAATTGTTTACAAAGAACGCGGAACAAAGATCCGCATTAGATTATTTCTATTTTTTGCGCGATAATAGTATGTATTTGCATTATGTAAAAGAGATTTACGAGATGCCATAAAGTTTCTTCCCCCTGTTGAATCCGTAGGAAGATCCAGTAATAGGGAATATTATCTCTCCTGGTTTCTTGTTAAATAAAATATCTTCTTCGTTATCATCGTTCATCGACGCTGATGATTCTCCCTATCTCAAAAAGACTTTCCTGATAATATCGCTATACTCTCTTATTGATAATACTGAATAAACTGCGCACGCGAGACTACCTGCCACTTGTTTTCCTTCTTCATCTTCTTCTTATTATTATTCCTATTATTATTATGCTCGAGTATTCGCTACAAACGAAAATGTAAACAATGCATAATGAGCAAGAAAGTTGTCAGGAGGTTGCGTCGTTAAACAGAATTTCACTTTGCGTTAAAAGTTTCTTAAATAGAAGAAATTGTTCGAAGTTAATGAAAAAGAAAAAGGAAAAAAGAAAAGGAAAAAAGTTTATTACATTGCGTTTCTTTTTTTTTCTGTATTTTTCTTTTCTTTTTCTTTTTTTTTTTTTTTTTTCTTGATCTAGAAAATAAAATACAGTGTGAAAAATTAAGAAAACAAGAAATGATAATTATTTTCTCTGAAATAAAAGAGAAATTTTATAAAACGAAATTAACTCGAAAAAATTTGATCAAGAGTATTGACGAGAGATACGACAAATTAGATAATTATAAATTCTACGTACGAATCGTTCGTCTTTTTTTTTTTTTTTTTTTTTTTTGAAACTTTTAAAAATAAAAATAAGTATATTGTAGGTACTTCCATTAAAAAAAAAACGAAAAGAAAGAAAAAATATAAAGAGATAAACAAATTTTTGTAAGATCGGTATGACGTATTTATAAAACAAAAAAAAGTGCGTGACAGTTGACTAACTCTTTTTCCTTCTTTTTTCCATTTCAAGCAAATTTTAATATATATTCTAATTTCTTTTCACAATTTTAAAAAGTAAAAAGAAATATGTACTTTTATATATACGCATCGTTTTATATCCATATTAAATTGATCGTTGATTTGCTTTTTTTTTTTTTTTCTTTGTTTTCTTTTTTTTTTTTTTTTTTTATTTCGTTAAAGAAAATATATTTTTATCGAAAAATTATTACATATCCTTTATTACTTTAACACAACATTCACGTGCAAATTTTCGTCGATTTATTTATCGGTTTTTTATTTCTTTTTCACTTAAAAGAAATTTTAATATTAATTACATCTGCATTTTCTTTTCTTTTCTCTCTCTTTACATTTTTAAAAAGAAAAAAAAGAAAAAAAAAGAGAAAAAAACTACAACATACTTTTACGTTATAATTGATCATTAATATGATATATTTTTTATTCCTTTATCAAATGAAATTTATTTTTTAATACTTTGATCATATCAGTTACACACTTAATATTATTGAAGACAAGAAAATCATTATTTCGAAAAGTAATTCGATGTATCGCGTTTATCGCGATGAGGAGGAAAAAGAGAAAAAAAAAAAGAAAAGAAGGAAAAAAAATATTCGGATTATGCAACATGCTCCGCTGATAACCCTGATGCCGTTTGATTCATCGTCGTTGCACCGGCAGCACATCGACACTACACTTTTAACACACAGAACGTTCTTTTCTTCCTTCTTTCCTTTCCTTTCCTTTCTTTCGTGCACGTGTTTCGTTGCATTGGATTGCATTGCATTGCATTGCACTGCACTCCATCGCGTTGCATTGCATTGCATCGGTCGCGACGCGAGCCGACCTTAACCCGATTTTAAAAGAGCGAACTCGGGCCACGCCCGACCGACCCTCCCCCACCAACTCACTCGACTCTTCTTTTTATTTTTTTTTCCTTTTTTATTTTTTCCTCTTCCTCCTCCTCCTTCTTCTTCTTTTACTACTACTACTACTACTAGTACTACTGCTACTAGTAGTTCTCCCTCTCCCTTTAATACGTCCGCAATTCAACCCTCCTTCGCTATATGCCACACGTTTCTTCTCTCTCATTTTACTTTCATATTTTCTCTTTCAACTCGTACCTGTTATTCCTCTTTCTAACGTTATTTTCTTGTTTTTTTTGCCTCTTTTCTTTCCTTTTCTTTTCATCTTTCTTCCTCTACTACTTCGTCTTCGTCTTCGTCTTCTTCTTTTTATCATTATACGTCATTGTTGGTTGTGAAATTATTTGAAAGAATTTCCTTTTCTATTTTTTTCCTTTTCCTTTTTTTAATTTAAACAAATTTTTTCTTTTTAATATGTACGTGATGTACATGAAATACGTGATCTACCTGTACGTGAATATATATGTATATGCACGTGCGCGCGCGCGTGTGTGTGTGTGTGTGTATGGGTGGATGGGTAATGACATTAATTTGTTTTTATCGCACGTTTTTCGACTTTTCCTTTTATGAAAAATTATAACAAAGAAATTGAAAAGATT